AGCCCAAGTTCCATCTATCCGTCTGCAGCATTAGCAGCAGGAAAAACAGACTTTCAGGGCTATCTGGACAACAGCATGGGGAAACTACACTGTTAAATATATAATACAATTTAATGTCTCAGCTGGACAATGTGATACCAAAGTTGTTTTTCCACAGTCTTTTGTCCTTACTCTGTTTTGGTGACTCCAGTTTGAGAATTACAAATAGAGCAGGGTGGAGGCAAAAGGGAATAATCCAAGTGTCAGGGAATCTTAACTGTGAAATAAAAAAAAGGAAAAAAAAGAAGAGAGACTTCAAAGCAGAAACAAGTTACTAGACCTTGAACCACAGATGTTATGAGAACTATTACAAGTCTGTCAAGTAGCAATTAGACGTCTTTGTAAGAATATTAAAGGCAGGTAGCTTCACTTCTGAGAAGGATCTGTAAAGGGGAAATCAGAGAAAACTTCTAGCTTATGGAGTACTCTCTACTGCACTTCAGTTACCTATTTCCTGTTTATTTCCCACTTGAAAAATCACATCCCAGAATCATAATGTAATTTTTAAAAACTTGTATTTATGACCATTCCATTTAAAATGTTTTGTTGAAAAAACACAAAAAACAAATGGAATGCTGTAAACAGATTTAAGTCAGCCACAAAAAACCACTCTGACAGATGTTAGCATCTGTGAACATGGATCTTTTATGACAGTCCTTTCCAATCTGGGATCTTTTCAAGTAAGACAACCTCCAGGGTTTTTTTGATGTTGTTTATTTCAATATGCTTTATAAAATTTAAGATAGGTTTTTTGGACCAGAAGGGTGACTTTTCAATACATTAGTCTACCTACTTGGAATGCTAGTTGCAGCACTTGACGCTCAAGTTTTAGTTGTGCATGTTGCCAGACAGGTTAACCCGTTGACTAGATTTGTGTTAAGATAAACAGTAAAGATCATTAGATGAAGAAAAAGAGGAAAGAAGGAAATCCAACTTTGAAATGAATTAGTTTTACAGGATTACCACTTGCCAGTAAAACTGTTTTACACAGAATTACGTAGAAACAGACTACTCAGAAACTTGCAATAACTTGCTAGATCATAATGAATCCCAGCAACTCTCATGTTTCTAGGGGCCTGCTCAGAAAGAGAAATGTGACTTTCCCCACACTTCTATTTCTTCCAGCCACTCAAACAAAACCTCCGTTCTTCTAAATATTTTGCTCCCCCAAGGGTCCTGCTTGCATGGTAGCAGGCCTTTCCACGTCTCTAAGATCTGGCTAATTGAAAACAAAATAAAGAGCAAAACCAAAAGAACTGTTGATGACTAGAGTATAGAGGCAGATCACATTATTTTTTAAAGTAAGTGTACTGTCTTTCCTCTGTTCTTGGAATAGAAAGCGCTAACATTCAGGTAGGAAGTAGGTCAAAACATATGCCAAGAGAAGCAAATGGAAAACTTCTCTAGTCACCCACAAAGATTTTAAAATGTGGATTCACAGCTATAGCTAGCATTGCTTTATGTTAGCAGTGGTTAATTTTTCCTTCTTAAGAAACAACACCCTTTTCTGTCCAGCCTCCTCACCCAAATCTTTTGAGTACTCTGACCAGTTTAACTGCCTAATAGTCCTAAAAATGTGTCTATTTTAGTTTCACCAACTACCACACAACCAGTCCTGTCCTTTAAGGCATAAAACTGACCAGCTCTATTTTTACTGAACTCACGTGGCCTGTTCAAAACAAACAGATACTGGCAAGAGCAAAATCCAAATTATACACTGCTTTATCCCAGGAACACAAAGTACAAGGCCGACGCAGTGAGTCAGACACCTCAGCGCCAGTGAGCTCAGGTTGACAGGAGTCTCTTTGGGATCCTCATACGCATAAACCAGGCCTTTTTCAAAAAGAGTCAAAATAATCCGGTTTAGAAAAACATGTGTTGTGTCATTAGCAAAAGTATCTCTCTCATCAGAAGGGAAAAGGCAGCAAAAAGTATGCCAGGAATGCTGGAAATGGCCAGACAGTCACGGAGAGTCATATTTTTTTTCTCCCCCGCCTGAAACTCCTTCAGCATGAAAAGTCCATTTGCAAGAGCAGCTAATTATGGGGGGAAAGGCAAATGATTCAATGAGGCAGTGAACATGGGACCAATTTATGTACAACAGAAGTTAGAGAACTTCTCTGTAATGACTTCTCAGTGTCCTCAGCAATTGCTTTACATACTTAAGATAAACAGACTTAAACCCCTCAGACATATCCATCTATTAGTAAAAGGCCGTATTCTACATATGTGGATTTATGAATAATAAAAGCTAGATGCATATAGGCATTACCATAATTTCTACTCTTTACCAGTGTTAGTTTTAACCAATTAAATGAAACCATTTCCTTACAATGAAAACAGAGGTTCCTGCTACAATTGGCCAGTCTCTTTCTAGAAACTGGATGCCTTGAACAAAATGCATCACTTCCACTGATCCACATTTAATTTCACGCCTTTTTTCCAGCTTACTGTGTTTTTTATGCTTCCCTATGGCAACAACATCTTATTGTGGAGTGCTACAAAAGATATACAATAAAACAGGCTGTCTAAAATACAAATCAATTAACTATTCATCTACCTCGATATCTAATTAGAAACTTTTGTTCACAAAACATTGAATTATCTAACTCATCTTGTCTCATAAAATACAAACGTTGCTTTCAAGGCAGTGTTACTTTATAAAAATAAGTTTACAAAGAAAAAAAAGAGAGGGGTTTTTTAATTATAAAAGAATGAGCAATCAAGTTGGTTCAAAGGACTGCCAGAGGGAGTTGGACCATTTTGCTCACTATCAGGTGACAGACAGAGACATTTTTGATAGAGGAGAAAATTCTCATGTGGATGCTTATCAGCCATGGAAATAGCAGCTGATAAAGCAGTATGAGGTGTTTTCCATTCCTCAGTCTTTAAGTGTTCATTCTCTTCTTTGCAGAAGAGAAAGTGGGTTGATTTTTCTCTTTGGGATCCAAAAGACAGTCTGATAACTGCAAATAACAACCACCAAGCTCTTTTTTGAGCTACCACCAAGCTCTTTTGAGCTGGGACATCTATAAAATTTGAGGAACTTCTAAGAGTCCAGTTTAACAACTGCCTGTGAGAATACCTAGCTACAGCATATACTCAGAAGCAACAGACTCTCAATTTTTATTTTATTTATATTTCAAACATGATAGAAGAAATGCAATCTGAGATTTCTGTTTTCTTTTACCCCATTCCTGTGATGGGTGTGGGCTCAGGCAGGTTAACTACTTCTAATTGTGTGATTGCAAGTTAACTATACTTTTGGTTAAAAGTTAGAAAGGAAATACAGAGACGGTATGATTTGATCTCTGCTAGAATTCATGTAAAAATCAGCTTGAATAATATCCTCAAAATCACATACTGATGTGGGGCTGCTAAAGTATTTTTCCTCTCACTTTAAAAAAAACAAATATTATAGCAAGAGTTAATTAATTATAAAGTAATGAGTTCACACAACAACATGTGCTCAATACTTTAAAAAAAAAAAAAGTAAGTTAAGATCAATATAACTATTCTATGTAAAGGAGCTTTTAAAAAAATATTGGGGTAAAGGGTGTTGATAATTACTTTCCTGTGGGTGATGACTGAGCTTGCATTTTAGGAAAGAACAATCTTCCTAAATTCCTCCTGGACAGATTTTATTGATCAATAATTGCTGTATATTATCCAATGGCTTACAAAGTAGTAAGAACTGGAAGAGCTGCAGTATTTCAAAAGCTCAGGACGAAGGACCTGTGAGCATGCTACTACCCACCAGCAGGGTGGCTTAGAGGAACTCAAATTCATCAAACCTTGAAGAATATCACAAATTACATGTGGAGAGTTCTCAATGGGACCTTTCAAACTAATTTCCCATCTACATTCAGGTCCTGAATTCTGCAAGAAGATAGATCTCCTAATGTCCTGAAAGGCTGAATTTAGAAGCTTTATATAAGTTCTGCCACTGTAACTCACTTCACTAAGCTTCCTGAGTGAAAACAAAATTGAGTGTATCTTACCTTTTAAAATTTTAAGCCAGCATGAACCAAAAATTAGTGCAAAACCAAATGAAGTTCAATAATAGACACAGTGATCTCAGATCCAGAGTTGCTGAGAAAGACTTTGAAATCTGTCTTTGGTCTCAAACCTCGAGGATCATAAAACATGAAGGCAAGGATTCATCAGTACCACTCAGAAGGGAAAACTTTGTCTGACATCTCTTTTGTACTTAAGAAAACAAAGTCCCATTCTTGATTCCCTACACTAAAACCAGACCAGTGTTAGGATGCAAAGACTAAAACAGAAGAGGCTAAAACCACTGGTCTAAAGCTGTAAGCTCCATGGGTTTTGTGTATAAGATTTCCTCATTGGTGTTAATGCTTTGACACCAGATCACTTCTTACTGCAAAGCAGCTGAACTGCTGTGACCTCCAGCTTTCCAGAAGTCAACAGGAGCTTTTTCCAGTGGCTTCACAATAGAAATTTGCATGTATGCAGCTATGTTTCTCTAATGGCACCTGTGCAAAATTCCCATTTTGGAAAAGCCTTTTGTTTATCTTCCCACAGATTTCTCTTGTTTCAAAAGACCACTCTGTGAGCCTAACTGACTAGCAGAGCATATTGCAGACTGAAATAGGTAAATGGGAAGTAACAGTTATTCTCTAAAGCTCAAGAAACACTGCAAGATGTCTATGATCATCACTGGTTTTACATTAACTTCCCATTAATTTTCAATCTTCCTGTCATTCTGTTGATGACATGATCTGACACATCCTTCCCTCCTCTGGGGAGGACTACTTTTGTGTCCCACTATACCTATTAAAAAACTACACCACCTCCATCAAGAGTCCTATGCCTTGCTGAGTGTGCTTATTCCCTGCAAGCTGATGACCAAGAATGACATTTCCAAACTATGTCCTCTTCAGTTTCTCATATATCACGGCCTCAACAAGAAAATTCCCATGCATCTTATTACTCACCTAACATTTGGTGGATCTGAATTTATGATTGGTGTTGCACAAAGAGGCTTGTTTCCTTCAACGTGGCTTCCGTAACCTCTTGCAGGCAAACAGTACACCCTTTGGATAACCACTTGTACCTGCGATTCTCTCCATCCCACTGCGCCCTGGCTTTCCACCATTTCAAGCAGAGAATCATTAACAGCACTCTGTGCTAAGGGATGCTGTTTCGAATCACAGTTGTTATGGATTTGCAGACCACAAGCAACCTGGTGAAAGAAAACCCATTAATAGAAGTATTTTACAGGACCTTGAAACAATGTAGTGTTAAAGAATAAAACTTCAGCATGAAAAATCACTGCAAGAAGTGCAAAATTAGTTTCAAAATTTTGCACCTAAACTAATTTACAGACTAATGGCCAGTATTTATCATGGATTTTTAATGAAACACTCAAGAGACCTGAGCACACAGTACTCTCCTGTATTAATATGGTCTATATATAGGCTCCTTCCCAGCATGAGCCAAACTTTTAGTTTCGCAGTGAAACCTGATTTTATAAAAAGCTGGGTGCCAAGAGAGGTTTTCATATTATTACAGACTGTGCCATAAGTATTATCCATCAGTAGAGAAGGAGAATTTGCAGTATTTAAAAGAAAACTGTGGTACAGCACTACCCCTTGTCTACAAAGTGGTTGCAATAAAACTTGTCTATTGAGTTTTAAATTAAGTGGGTTTGTTTGTTAGGAACCATGAGGGGAACAAGTAAATTGCTCTGGTTTCGAGTAGGACAGTGTAACCTTTTTTATAAGGTAGAGTTGAAGCACCAACTATTAAGATTTATGTAACTTTTTAATTCCTAGGCCTATAATGGATATTATATAAAAGCAAATACAAAACTCAGTCTCGTTCATCAAAATTTTAGGGCCAAAATTCTCAAATATTAAGAACTATTTTGGGTAGCCAGTAGAAAGCCTTTATATGAGCCTTACTTTCAGAAAGTGCTGGGACACACTATCAGAAAACCAGATCCCTTAAAATGCCTCAGCTTGTACAACCACAGCTACAGACATGCACAGTCAGTAGTCATTTTAATACAAAGTCAAAATAGGAAAGAAAACAAACTGAAAGGGTGGGAAAAGTAGGTGGTGTTTCCAACTGATGCTCTAAAGAAAGAGAAATGAGAAATTAGGAAATGAGTTAAAAAATAGGGGTGTGAAAATGGAATGTTTGTTTAAAATAATATCTTGAATGAGTTTGCAGAAAACAGATTTTATTTCAAATAAAGCTTAGCTATTCAGCTATAAAGAATGAGAAAAAAATCAATGAAAAACCAAGCTACAATTACTATTTAGCACAGTAGTGAGACCAGCAAAATAACCTCACTGCAGTTCAACATCTAGATGGGCCAAAAGCCTCCGTTAAGAAAATATTATTAAAATAAACACTGAATATTATTCAGTCTTGGCCAAATGAAAGAGGAAACTGAACAGGTCAGTAATTTAGAATTTTTGGTTTTGCTATGATTTCCAAACATCTGCTCACCAACTTCTCACCAAGTGCTAAACTGTGAACCAAATGGACCTTACCTGATTATCTGAAGATTCCTGGTGTAACTCATCATCAAGGTCATTTAGTCTGAACGTCTGTGCCAAAGATATAATATTCTTCCTAATAAGCATCTTTGTAAGACCATATGTCTTCTCTCTTGTTTCTGAATGTTCAGTGAATAGCACCTTCTGACTAAAATACGTATTCATGATAACAGGAACATCTGCATTTCCCAGAAGCAGTTTTTGCCTGGAAAAAAAACAATCCATTACAAGTTAAACTACCGATAAGCACTGTTTTAAAACGTGTGTTGTATTTCTCTCCCCTTTTTTCTATAGTTACAACTAAAATACTCAAAGGTGTGTTATCCAAATTGCAGATAACCCACCCCATTGATATATTCAGCTTGTAACAGCCCTATTAGCTCAAGCATAGCCCTGGGCGAGTGGAGCTCCACTGCATCCAGGGACAATTTACACCTGGAAGCTTGCTGAGCCCTGTGAATGAACCCCATCTGGATTCACACAAACGCTGTTCGGTACCTCCACGCTGCCAGTGCCGAACCAAGAGCATCAGGAACACCTGCATACAGTTACTAAGGTAAAAGCCATGAATGAAAGATTTATTAATCCTGCTCTGTGTTAATTCATGCTTCCCACTGACCCAAATTCATTCTCACTGCAGCCAGCAGCAAGCTGTTCCTCCCGCTCTTTCTCCTCAAGCAAAATCTTATGCTTTTCCTACGATATGCCATATATTATTTTGCCTGTGTGTTTGCTGCTGTCATAAATGTGCTCTCGAAGACCCATTTTTAGTTTCTAGTGCCAATGTAAATTCCCAAACAGCTTCACATGCAGTAATTTCTCGCCTAGCAGATTAAGGTAATGGCTGCAGAATCTCTAAACACACAATAATTTGATGTCAAAGCACTTCTCGATATGGGGATTTTTTTCACATGCTAGAATCACAATCATACATTTAGAAATACACTTTTTATATTCACAGGATACAAATTTAATGAAGTCAGCTAACAAAAACAATCAGTAATCTCATTTTCTAGACACCATCAAAACAGAAACAAAATTCACTTAGTGACTTTATTGCAGGCTGTGTTTTTCTACCATTAGATTTTTATCGCTTGGGAGTAAAACAAGGCCTCCTGCCTTGGCAGCAAAGCTAAACTGACCTGAGTTCAGAAGTAACCTCAGGACTTCAGTCTCTAGACTGCTCAACAGCCGTATTATGGAGATGAAGGAAGTTTTCAAATCTATGACACTGTTTGTCAAAACGCAGCCATACAAAGTTGAAAAGCAAACCAAACCAAACCACTCAAAAATACTTATTTCTGATCTCGGTCCATACTAGATCTTGACCATGGGCTGTTTTATAACAGAATCCTTCATTTTCTGGAGAGCAGATAGCTAAATGGAAATTAATGCATTCTTATTTTCAAAGGCATAGGAAGAGTTGCAGGAAGTTATTAAATATAATTCTGTTTTTTTATAATTAGAAAATAATGCAAAAGGAAGATGAATTCTGCCTTTTAGAAAAAAGTACAGTGTTAAAACTAAGCTTTCAACTTAAAACTATGACTCATACACATAAATTATAAAAAAGATGTATGGCTTCTATCTGTGAACACTCACAGAAGTTATGATTTGAAACAGAAAATTCTTGAAAAAGTACAGCATAACACTAAGTACCACACTTCACCGCGATGCCTTACTGCCATCTGTGAGCTCTTCAGATCTAAGCAAGCAATAGTTCATCCCTAAAGGACACTGAGTCCCTTGACTCCACATGAATTTGCTAACAAAGGTCCCCGTTAAGAAGAGCGTGACAGTTGCTCACAAGGCTGCCAAATTGACATTGCCTGATAATTTTCTGCGTTACAGGATTAAAACTGAGGAATTAGCTTGGTCAGCAAAACCAAGACATCTCTGATTTTAGGAGATTTTTAAACTGTCCCTTTTTTCTAAATTAAAAAAAAAAAAGTATAAAAAGTTTGCTACAGATTATCAGAACAGTTTGGGTTGTCTTTATATGCAGATATGGAATGAAAATTTTAGCACCTACTTTCTTGAGAGTCTGTGTTCAGACACAAAGTAAACAGGAAATCTCTCTGAACACGGGACTGTTACGTCACTAATGTCAGAAGAATGTTTGCTTGATCTAAATCATCTCATTCTCTACAAAAATACTGACGTTAGTAGCAAATCATTCGCAGAACTCTGAGGTTTATGGTTTTATTTTTATTTTCCTGTGCAGATATGTGATCAGCTTTTTTTTTTTTTTTTTAAGGCAGGTAGGTTTTACTGATACCCAAATTACATGTACCATGGTTTTGCTACGTCTATGCATTCCATGCCTCAAGTACTTTTATAACCACCAAGAGCTGTCTCGGCTCAGTTTTTATAATACACGAATAATGCATAAATTAATGGCTACATGGCATTTCCACAAAGCTAAAAAAGGACATCTATACACTTTCGGGAGAAGGCCTCCACTTCTTACTTGCAATTAGTTCACTAAAAACACTTATTTTTTTGTTTCATTTTAATCATTTGGTTTAGACCTGCAAATGTTCAAATGAATGATTTGTTTTAGACCTGCATAGGTGTCCACAGACTTAGCAATAACTCTTCAGCTAGGTCAGAGTAATAATCACAGTAGTCTATTAAAATCTTTTTCTATTTCTCAATGGATTAATTCCTCCCAATAGGAAATGAAAAGGATCAGCAATAAATAGAAATAAAAACCAACTGAAATGAAAGAAATAAGAAAAAAGTTTGCAATAAGCTCACTATTTTGTGTACAGGTGGATTTCTAAATGGAAATATTTTCTATTTTTATATATAGATACATATAAAATATAGAATAATTATATTTGCTATATATAATATATATAAATATATTATGTTATATGTATTATTCCCAAGTTTATATATAGAGTCTTCAAAATAAAGAATTATTAATATAATATTAATTAATTGAATGAAAACTCTGTCCTTTTCCATAAATTCTTCCTAGTATTGCTCAGCTCAAACAAGCTCTGCAGGATGGTAATTTTGATCATCATCATCATGGCAGAAAACTCTACATTGCCATTGTATATTGCTCATACTGTTCGCTTTACAACAAAGGCAAACTGTGCCTTAATTCTTTATGTCTGCTTGAAAGATACAGGCTAGGGCAAAGAAAGCCTATAAAGCTGCAACAGTTGGGGAAAAACAAAATCCCTTCCTCAAGCAATTCCTGTGGTCCTGAGCTGTATGTGTTGCCCCTGTGCCTGAGACACCATAACTGACCACCTCAACCTTCTGTATCTGTTCCAGCTGCAGATTGCCTACACTCAGGAGTAGCACTATCTATCCTAAGAGGATACAGAGTACATTCTGTAGCATCCTCTTAACAGATAAAGTGTTAAATGGGCATTTCAAGTCTTCTGTGACCTCTCTTAAATGTCTTCTTTTCTGCTTCATTATATTTAAAAGTTTATTTTCAAAGAATGAGACACATCATCTCATTCAGCAAATCACACAGAGACAATGGAAAGAAAACAAAGTTCACTACAGACTTAATAAACCCCAAACCCTCTCTTGTACTCTTTGATTTTCTTCTTGCTCAGGAAAGTATATTTAAATGTTGAATTAGAAGTTGACTTCCTTACTAACTGCCTTTAGAGGAAAGGTCGTTTGCAATGACCTGAAGTAGAGACTGTGAACTTTTTACACTACAGGGCATTTTTTTTTCTGGTATGTAGACAATCAGCAATTGCCGTAACTGGTCACATGCTAAAGGAACATGAGGCAATAATGTTATTTTTTTTTTCTTTTCCAACGGCAGCTTGCTTCTCTCTCCAAGGACGTAGCTTGCTTTTTCTCCTCCTCCCTCCTATGATGAAATGGCTATCTGGCAGAGTAAAAGCAGAGGGTGTCCTTGCCTACTTCTCCATTAATCATGGTCTATCACCCTTTGAGATACAAAACACATGGTATAAAGTAGCTGAATTTTCAACTTGAGGCAGGGTCTTAACCCTGCTGCCAAACAGTCAGGAGGTTTGCACTGTGGTCTGCCCCGCGTAGCCCATCCACAGGCTCAGCCTGCGAGAAGTTGTGACTATGGCAGCAGCTAGCTCACAAACCACATGCTTCCGCTCAGTTCTGCTGACATCAAACAGTGGTGCTGGTTCATGAACTCGAGATGACTCTGGATCACTTCAAATTAGAGAACATATTTTTTTGTTTGCTCTCCCTGGGTATTTTATTGGGCTTTTTTTTCTTTTCTTTTACAAAGCGTAAAATGCCTAGAGCATTTTTTTGAAGAGTACATTGCATTAACTGAACGCTCTAAAATTTCAGTGACCTACAACATACACTGTAATTATGAAACTGGCTGATTTCAAGTCTCAGGACAATGATTTCTGCATAAAGAAGGTTTAATGCCCACCAAGTAGAATACTAGTAGTACATGTGGGGGGATAAGAGCATGGCCAGAGCCTAAACTGTTGCCCAGAAGCATGAGGAATGAACTCCCTTAGGAACACCACACAGGGCCTATCCCAACTTCCTAGGAAACACTTACTGCCTCTCACTTGGGGATGAGTGCCATTTGCAGTGTTTTACTTGTGAAAAATTGTAGTATGTCCAAGAATGTCTGAGTGCTAGAATAACAATTTTTTAAAATCCCAAATTTCCCAAGTCCAGACAGATCTCTGCCCACCTACCATCCAAGGATGATAACTATCTTCCCAATATGTAGCTCAAATCAAAAAGCCACTGGGAACAGATCTACCATCTGCCATGCCTAGAGATTGCCCAAACACAGAATTTTCATCCTTGAGTGAGTAATCTCACAACTTGCATGTGAGCCTTCATCAGCATCATTTACATCACTTGAACAATCTGTATGAATACTGTGTTTGCGAGCTCACACTTTAATAACGTAAAACTTCTTCCCTTGCCCCAACCTCAAAAGAGAAAACAAAAATCAGCTGGTATCTCCTTCTTTGAAATTATCTTATTCAAAGCAACAGATTACTGTGGGACACGTTCTCAAGGCTGATTGTACTGTTTTCTCCATGAAGAAATAGTATTAATCATCTAGACCTATGTCCAGACTCATATGTCAAATACAGAGTTCTCAACTGTGTCAGGTTTCCAAAGAAATGTAGCTTCAGCACCTCAGAATTCAGAAGATTTAACAATAAAAAGCTACTCAAGCTATGGCTAAAATGTCTGCTTTTAGAG